CCACTTACTCTTTCAGTTCTCTGCTACTATCATTTTTATTTTTCAAGAAAGGAGTTTCCAAACCTCCTTTCTTTCCAACTCTTGCCCACTTCTGGCCATTAGGCATATCAAAATCAGTTTGTATTTTTTAAATAAGTCTGTTCATCTAATTGCTCTAAATGCCCTTGAAGGCCTTCGCATTGCATTTAACATACCATGCCCTGGTTTACAAGCTCCTAATGGAATGTTTAATGAACAGTAATCCACTGTGGTCCTACTTAATGGTACCTAACCTAGCATGCAGGCCCAGTGTATGAAGCTGTTCACCAGGATTTGTTCTTTTGAGGTACAGTGTAATAAAATATCATCAATGTTAAACATGTAGGAGGCAATCAGAAATAATAATTGTATCACTGAATTTTAGAAAGACACTTTATGATTTTATTCAGTTCAATAATTTAAATACTTGCACACTTCAGCAACATGTAGAAACAATGATTCTGTAACCTTGTTCCATCGTGATCTTGTATTCATGGAGGAGCTCAGAGAAATATAAACCACAAATACCACATATGCTACTGAATAATAATAATTTGTGTAAGATAAGAAGATGATGAATCTTATAATTCAGAATACACTCTTATGTATTCCCGTGACTGAGGAAATGACATGCTATTTAATGTTTAGGCTATTTGTATTAACATTTGAATTATTTTTGTTTTTGTTGAAAAGCTAAATAACTTTTTCAATTTTTTGATGAAAGTTGCTAAAATTTGGACTATCATAATGCCTCTTGTGGATCTTTGACCTGTGAGGAGGATAGAATCTAGAAGTTCATAGAATATGTGAAAGGCTAGCCACTGTCATTGTTATGGAGAGCAATTAGCAAAACATTGAGCTATATCCCCTGTTTACACTGAACAAAACAGTTAATTGCGTCTTTGCCATCTGTCTCAATATTATTACAAACCTTTGTTATATTTGGTCAAAACTGTCAAAATCATCAGACCATGTTGTAAAGAAACCTTTCCTTTTTAATCTTTAAAGAAGTTCAAGAAAAGTTCTAATTTAATTTTCTGTATTTAGCTTCCGCTAGCAGTAACTACATGTGCAACTCTGTATTTTATGTATTTTATTGCTGAATTAACTTTAAGATATGCATTAAATTAAACAATTGAATAAGAAAATAATGAAAAGGCAAAGCTCTGAATCTCAGGCAGTTGCTGTTTTGCAGGTGACAGTGAAGAAGTGTACATTCAGGAAGGAGACACCCCTCCCTTGGGAATCTATTTCTGTTTGAGAACTGAAAAATGTGTTCTCTCTCCTTCCCATCTTACACATGGACATGTGGAACTTAAATATATATTTTGACCCAGTAAAGAGAACTGTCTTTGTAATATATTGATGTCAATGAATTTTAAAACTATTTCCCTTTCAGGTTAAAAAGAAAGACCATGAAAGGAAATAACTAAATCCTCCATGTATATCTTCATTGACAGCTGATAATTAGTGTGCTGCTTAGCAATAATAATTAGTTCCCTCGAGTAAATTTCCGGATGAACTCTGAGTTGGTGCATCTCAGTTAGTCTTGTTTCTTTGTCCACTCCCTTCCCCCAAGTAATTCATGTTATTTTTAGAGAAGGAAGATCAAGATGAGCTCCCTCCTTTTAACCAAGTCAGCACTGTTCATTATTTGCACTGTGTTTTCTAGAGATTACCTGAGATTAGAGTTTCTTTTGTCCCCCTCTTCCTGTATGTTCTGATTGTTTCGTTTAGGCAGCTTGAAGCAATGCAAAGGGATAAAGAATTTAGCCATTGCTTGGTAAATATACCAAGTCCACAGACTATAATTTGGACCTAAAATCATTACTATGACTTAAATCGCTGGCTCCAAAACTGAAAAGAGGAAAAATTCTTATTGAGGGAACAAAGCTCATATGAGTTTCTTGTACCTTCAATAGGCACCAAAGCATTTCTGATACATTTTGTAACTACAGAAAATTAAGCAAAAAAATTTCAATTTTGTAAAAGTAAGCTATATGAAATAAAAATGTCACAAGAACATGTCAAAGCAATATAAAAAGTTCTGTATTTACAAAGTTAAAAAATAGCAATCTAAAGCAATTTTAATTTTTAAATTAAAATTCGTGCTAACCTGAAGTTTCCTGTTGATGATATTGCTATTAAATTATTTTGAATATTTTACATCCAAGTTTTAAATATTGAAAGTAACTTTCATCTTGTCTGTTATTTACATAAGACTGCAAAAAAAAAAATCCGTTTCTGACACATTATTTTCCCTTAGTTAAACTATTTCTTAGTTGCTTCTGTAAAGAGCTATGTATAGATTATGAAGTCAGTGCTAAAGGAGCAAGCTTTTGAAAAGTCTCATTTAATTTTTGTTGTTGTTGTTTTCTTTGTGTGCATGCCAGGGGTAACTACACTGTGTGAGTTCACAGTAGAGATAGACATTGCCCCCCATCTTAATGCATATGCATAGTTAATAGCAAAGCATTTCAGTCGACTTTTCTTACTCAGATTTTGGCACCAACATGAGCCAAGTAATCTTAGTTAACCTTATTTATGAAAACCTCTTTTTTATTGTGCCCATAATATGAGCAGTTCTTACTCCATATATGTGATAAAGCACAAGTATTTACACCCAATGGGATACTTGTAATATTTCCTATCTTAAAGATAAAGATATTGGAGAATCATCTACAGTAAGGAGAAACAGTTTGAATTGCAGAGAAAAAATAAAGATTTACACTTACAGATGTGGATAAGAAAAACTTAAACCATTGCATTGGTATGCTTTGATTAGTATAACAATTACAAACTAACATATTTATTGCTAGTTTGGAACTTTCTGGAATTAGTCAGTTATATTGCATTCTGTTATATGCAAGTGTCAGAGTGGACAGCTACAAAGCACTGGACTCAGTTCTCTCATGTTACAAGAATTTTTTTAAAGAAAACTGCCTTGTATTCATTGGACTTTATAAGTTTAAATGATATTAGGAATTATTCTGCAAAGTATCTTCATAAATGAAATTTGTTACTGCTCAAAGCATGACTTCCAATTTTGTATATATAAACATACGTCCTCTGAAAGTATCAACATTAAGCTCCAAAATCCCTTATGACTTAAAAAATTATCTGACCCTATGCTAATTTAACTGTTTTAACTACCTCCCATTAAGCAAGCTTAAATACAGGACATGAGATCTTTAAACTTGCTAATTGATCACTCCCTCCATTTGACAGATTTGAAAAATAAAGTTCCTGCATCATGCTTTAAAAGATTTTATAGAATGTCTTCATGTTAGGTTTGTTTTTTTACAATGTGCTATCTCCTCCATTTTAGAAATGCAATTTGGTAAAAAATTAAGAATTTTGAAGGTTTTTAAGTTTTACAGATATTGGAAAGTTAAAAAAAAGGTACGTCTCTCTTTCTATGTATACATGGTAATGGATCACATTATAGCTCCTGAATAGCCACTCTTTGATCAGTTACATTCTTTCAATGATAGTGATTTCATTGTGCATAAAATTGGGAATTTCACAGTTAAGGATAACTTGAGGAAACTTTTTATAAGAGTGTAAGTGATTAATTATAAAGACAAGGTGTAGTGAAAGTGGCAGGTTAGTTCATCTATATTTTTGTTATGATATTGGAACTCTGAGAGGGTATTTCTTGCCATTTGTGAATTCCTATTAAGTGATAAAAACAAGTTAGGTCTATCTTGACAAAATTACTAAATGGGAAAAAATTTGTCTTCCAAAATTCAAAACCTTGATCTCTCAAATTTTTGTTACTTTCTTCCCTAAGTAAAGCACCTTATTCTTTCCATTCCTCCCTCAAAACTTGTCCTCAATTCCTTCCTTTATGTGAACAAATTATTCAGTAGCATGCATTACTTTTTCAAGTGATATTATTATTTATCATTATCACTCATGTTAAGCTTATAATTTAAAATTTCTCCAAAAAAATTGTGATATGGATAATTTCAGAGTAGAAATGCAGACAACTGAGTATGTTCTCAATTGAGGAGAGAAGTTACTATTCTTCAACAAAAGCAGAAGGTATTAAAAGGGGGCAAAATTCTATAGATTTGTCACTTTTCATTTTGGATCTGGACTTCAGTATTACGCTTTCTCGGACAGAGGCATTAAAATGGATCTTTGGAAAATTAAGTTATCTTAAAACATGCCAATATTTCCCCAAAGAATTCTTAAGAAATTCTTGAGGATACATACAGGGTTTATCCTTGGGAGCAATATTCTCATGTATCATTTACCAATGTTAAGTACTGAAGTTAAATAACTTCAACAAACTACACACACATGAGAGGTTTTCCAGATTCTAGCTTTCTAAAAGTTAGAGGTGAAAGCAAGATTACTAGGCAGAATCCCAGCAGCGGAATGCCACTCCCTCCAGATTCATCAGTCACCCCTACTGCACTGTACTACCCACATATTACCTCATTGTTTTAACAACTGATAGTTTCCAAACTTGGGCAATTTGATTATGGATGTGGTTTTCAAAACCAGTTTCAAGTAGAGTTTTGTTTTTGTTTATTTTGCTTTTTTGTATTCAAATGGAATGTAATTGATCCATGTTGGGACTATTTAAAGTAGATTTAGCATTTTTTTAAGACAGAAAGATGTGATAAGATGTCTTTTCTAAGTAGTATTTTATAGTATATTGTTATAGTATATATTGTGAAAAGTTCTTTCTGTGTTTAAAACCTTGGAATATTTACCTTATACATTGAGTTAAGTTGAGGTTTTTAGAGTCATACACATAAAATATTTTAATTTATGTGCATTAATATTTAGTCTCAGTAGCACTATATATTTAAATCTTTTTAATAAAAAATTAAAAAAACTATATTTATGATAAAATGAATGTTAACTACATAGTTCTAATAGATATGAAAATAGAACCATGAGAAAAGTGTTATGAATTTATTTGTATTTAAACCTATTTTTAGTGTACATTTCCTGTTTCATTTCAGTGCTCTTGGATCTAAACAGAACATCAATATTTCATAGCCCTTTTGGATTTCTTGATCTCCATACAATGCTGCTGGATGAATACCAAGAAAGACTCTTTGTGGGCGGCAAGGACCTTGTGTATTCCCTCAGCTTGGAACAAATCAGCAGTGGCTATAGAGAGGTACAGAAACATTAAAGTATATCAGGAGGGAAAGAAAAGAGATAAGGGATGTTGGGTGTTACTTGGGTTATTTTTCAATTCTGAGTGACAATTTTATTGCAAGAAATAAGATATTTATTAATAATGAAGTCATTTTGAGTGAAGTTTATAAATCACTGTGAATGACTGTTCTAGACACCACTGATCTCTATATTCCCATAAGACTTCTGATTGGTATATTTGACATTTCTCTTCTATGACGGATCTGTCACCACACCACTATCTTAAGACCTATCTATGGAACACTGTAAATTATAGCAATATCTCTAGACTTTTTTTACTACAAATCCCAGCCTAAAGAGATATGGATATGTGATCTTAATATAGCTAACTCGGGCAGATCTACTTGTAATGTAATCAATTATTTCAGCTGGCCGCTCCATAAACTTGAAGGTTTAAAGTATATGATTAAAAAAGGCATATATCCAGCATTTTCAGGAAAAGGTTAAATATGATAAAAACAAAAATAATTATTTGTAATCTGTGCTTCTACAGGATTGAATCAAACAAATATTTTTTTCAGACCCGTATCAGCCTTACTCAAAACATGCACAATTAGAGCAAATAGTATTTTTTAAAAGATTCATTTTTCTTTATATCTGTTTATAAGATCTTAGGGAACAGGCCTGAGGTGTAGGGGTGACAGGATTCACCAGATACAGAGTAGGGACTGAACAGGGTGATCTACTGAAATACACTGCTGAGGGGAGCAGCAGGTGAGACAGGAGAGGTCTTCTGCGCCATGTGGGTCAGTTCCCTGGCTGGCGATCAAACGCATGCTGCAGTGGCTGCGGAGAGCTTCATAGTGCTGTGACTTAACTCCTTACACCACAAGGAAGACCCTAGACCATAATACTTGGGGGCATAAATATATGTATGCTATAGTGTATTTTCTCTATAACTTATTTATTTTGCCTCAAAATGATTTTGCCTCAAAATATTTGAAAATCACCTTAAAGTTATATGGTAGAGACAGTATCCCTACCAGTTTCTAATCCCTAGAAGAAATCATTTTAAATGCTTTATTATTTCTTCTGGTTCTCACCTCATATTTATAAATAACATTGTGTACAGACGTCAAATCATTCACACTCAAACCTCTTCCCATTTTCAGAGGGACCCTGGGTTTCCAAGTCCTGAGAATTTCTGAAGTTACTTTCAATGACTGTTTGCTTATTGGCTTTCTTCACCTTGTAGTCATTTAGATCTCAGCTTTTTTGGTCAACACTGTCTACCTGTTCTAAAATGTTGTTTTCACTTCTTCTTCTTCTTTACTCATGATCTGTTTGTCCTCTTGGGATTACATCTCTTAGCAGCATTTTAGTACTGCGGAGTAGAGTGAAAGCACATACAATTGTTCCTCTTTTCTTTTTTTCCTGCCATCTTTAATTTTATTTTCCCTATAGTTGTCAAAAAAAGGTGAATTTTCTCTCTAAGTATATCTATATATACCCAAATACATATAATACTCATATTATATGTAGACCTATATATGCACACACCTCTCTAAACTTTCAATGTTTCTTTCTCCCAGTTAAATGGAATGTTTTTTTCTCTCCCTTTTGGATAGTCTTTTGCCTACTACTGGTGGTATTCAGCACAAGACTCTTCTTTTCCTCTAAGGTCATCTCCAAGTTGCTGATTTCCTGTGAAGGAATATCTAAGTTAGGGATCATAATTATGGGAGCTATAGAGTAACTCCTGCCATGAGCTGAAATCCCTTCCCAGTCTGTAGTTTGAAACCGTAATGTTGACACATATTGTCTATCAGAATATAACTAAATTTTCAGAGAGGGCCTTTCCATAAGGTACAGTGAGTTCTTTAGGTTCAACATTAGTTCAATCTAACAGTTGTCCTTATAAAGGAAGAAATTTGAACATAATAGAAATATCAGGAATCACTCCCGCTGAGGGAAAACCATGTGGAAACCCAGGGAGAAGGCCAAAGATTAAACTGGTTAACCGTCCTGCATTCAAGTTAAATCTTCATTTTACGGGGCTTGAAGTATATCTAATTTGGTGGATGTCTTCAGGAAATATAATTAAGTCAAACATACATTTTAAATTTGCTAAGGTCACACATGGGCCAGAGGCCTGCGGAGGGTCCTGAGGCATAAACTTCATTAGCTCTGAGATGACTTAACACCAGTTGCATTTGTTATTGTGTAATTTTTTCCAGTCTGTTTCAGTGGAATTATTCGCAATAAAATTCTACATGGGCTGTTTGTATTTTCAGTAACTGTAGAGTTAGATTGAGGTCTGCTTCATAGACATTCTGTTTCAAGGAATGGGCTTAAAGAATGAAGGTCAGTCTTGATTTCTCCATGTTCTGAAGAAGTAATATATCTCTCCTGGACCAAGATTGCCTCCTTTCTTTTCTGGATGCTGCTTGCTCAAGTATTTATGTTACTATATTTTTAATTTCTCCTGCTTTGCTGTATCTATCTCTGGGCTTGTCAAGCCTGGTAGTATTCCAATCTGAATAAGTTGAATTGGGGAAGAATATGTACTTTGCTTTGTAGGATGTTTTGCTGATCTCTGGTTTCTGTCAAATGTCAGTGGAATCCTCTTCCTACCCAATCATGACAATCAAAAAGTTTCCAGACATTGCCAGATACCATGGAGACAAAAGTGCTGAAGGTCAAACCACTAAATGCAGCCCATTAGAATTCAGAGACTTCCATATAAACAGAAAAAATTCCCCTAAACTATGTATCAATTTAGTGATACCTTCCCTTGGAATCTAGTACCTTTAAATCATAGCCAACGCCCATTTCTCTACATTGTCACTTTTTATTTATTTATTGACTTTTAATAGTGCTTATGTAATATTTGATACCTAAAAGATTAAAAGTAGGGCAAATATGTTATAAAACAGTAATAACCAATACTTAGGAACTCACCACCCAATTCAAGAATAAAAAGATCACCAATCCCATTGTAAATACTCCTTCTTTTGACTTTTCCTTTTCTCCCTCATGCTTGTTGCCACTTTATAGCAATTACAATCTGGGTTTTGTTTTGTTTTTTTTTTAAAGATTATTTATGCATACAGAACTGGGGTACAGGCCAGTAGGTGAAGGGCGGTGAGAGGATTCACCAGAAAGAATGGGGCATAGAACAGGCCAACTGATGAAGTACTGCTGAGGGGAGCAGCGGGCGGGTCTGGGGAGGTCTGCCGCAGCCTGTGGGTTACTGGGGTGGGGATCGAACTCATGCTGCATTGGCTTTAGTTTCTTAGTGCTGTGCTTTAACCTGCTGTGCCACCTGGGAAAACCCTACTATCTGGGATTTTTATGTTTGTTTGTTTTTAACTTTCAGAAAATATGTTGTCATTATCAATATTTCCCTTTATAGTATAATGCTTAGTGTTTCTTGTTTTTAGCTATGTAAAAACAATTACAATAATATAGTGCAGATTTCTGGCATGCTTTTTTTTTTTTTCCTTTAATACTTCTTAGATTCATCCATGCTACTTGTAGCTCTACTTTATTGTAGAGGTAGAATTGTGAAGTAGGAGCACAAATTAGATTTCTAGGTTCAAATTTGGGCTCTATATTTATAGTATTAGGCAAATTCCTTAACGTCATGCCTCTATTTCCTTGTGAAGGAGGAAATATTAGTGTTTTCTAAGATTAAAATGTACAGGACCAAAAGCTATACATGGGCCATGTGTATAAGCTATATATAAGTTCTTGTCAATTTGACAAATATGTATATATGCCACATAGGAAGTCATCACCCAAGTTCACTCCTCCCTATCACCAAGTTTATTGCTTCTGTGTGGTTTTATCTACCTCCTTCATTGTTACAAAGGAGGAAATAACTTTTCTCCTTTTATGAAATGCTACTTCTGCACATGCTTTTTCTTCCAGCCTGTTAACTTTTCTTAAAGAATGGTTATTTTATATCTTTTCTACTAATTTCCTCTCTGTTTCTAAATAATTTGAAACAATTATGGTTTTGTGTAGGGGTCTCATTATTTGTATGTGTCATGGATATATCTGGAATTCTTGTGAAGTCTATGAACTCTTAAATGCATAAATAAATCTATAGTATTATAAAGCAAATATTTAAAAAGTTATCAAAATATAAATACATTGGAATATCATGATGATAAAATAATGATTTGTAATATAAAGCACTTAACTTATTTATTAACATGACATAAGATGATTTAATACCTGATCTAATAAGTATATAATGTCAAATTTATGGTGAATGTTGATATTTTTTCATGCCTGCAATAGCTCTAATGTAATAATAAAATATTTGCTTGGTAAGTAATCTGCAGATGCTATTAGTAATATTTTGGGTTGTTTCCTACATTTATATAATTGAAATGCTGAATTAGATATCATGTTTTTTTTTTCTGATTGAAATAGGTACATTCCCTGAATTCTTTTTTTTCAGATTGCAGTTAACTCCTTCTCCCTAATTTATGTCTTAAAAGGATTCTAAGAATTTTGAGTGAATATAAACATAAATCTCTTAGATTAGTCAAGACAGAATCTCATAATCTACTTGTTTGCCTTTTTAATTTAATCTCTACTTGCTCAAAACAATATATTGCCAATAAATCACATTTATTTGTTTGTTCATTTGTTTGTTTGTTTAATATATACAAGGACTAGAGTATAGGCCAGGGGGTGGGGGGGAGTGAGTGGATTCACCAGAGACAGAGTAGGAGACACAATGGTCAAATCTACTGAAATACATTGTTGAAGGGAACAGCAGGTGAGGCAGGAGAGGTCTGCTGGTCTAGGAAGGTCACCTTTCAGGCTGGGGATGAAATTCCCCAGTGGCTTGCAGTGTTGAGGTAGCTTTATAAAGCTGAACTTTAACCCCTGCACCTCCAGGGAGGACCCCTAAATCACTCTATTAGGCCTTTCCTAATAGAGCTTTGTTGTATATACTTGACATACAACATTGCAGAGGTTTAAGGTTCACAATGTGTTGAT